TTTCCAAATGAATCTTGTTATTATTTTTTCTAACTCTATAAAAAAAATTTTGGTAATTTGATTGGTATGGCACTGAATAAGTAAATTAGCTTAGGTAGGATTCTCATTGTTATTATATTAGCTCGGCCTACCCATGAGCAACTGATGTTTTTCCAATTATTTAGATCTGATTTTATTTGTGTGAAAAGTGTTTTGTAATTGTGTTCATAGAGTTCCTGGGTTGGTTTCGGGAGGTAGACTCCTAAATAGTTTATAATGTCTACAGTAAGTTTAAATGGGATTTCTCTTTCTATCTCTTGCTGCTGGGCTCTGTTGGTAATACATAGAAATGCTGATGATTTATGTGGGTTTATTTTATAGCCTGCAACTTTGCTAAAGTTGTTTATTATTTCAAGTAGTTTTTTACTTGATTCTCTAGGATTCTCTAAGTATATCATCATGTCATCTGCAAAGAGTGATAGCTTTGTTTCTTCTTTGCCTATTCTAATGCCTTCAATTTCTTTTTCTTCTCTTATTGCTAAAGCTAAGGTTTCCAGTACAATATTGAATAACAGTGGTGATAATGGACATCCTTGTTTCACCCCCGATCTTATTGGAAATGCTTCTAGCCTGTCCCCATTACATATAATGCTTGCTGAAGGTTTTAGATAATGCTATTTATTATTTTAAGGAAGACTCCATTTATACCTATGCTTTCTAGTGTTTTTAATAGGAATGGGTGTTGTATTTTATCAAAAGCTTTTTCTGCATCTATTGAGATGATCATGTGGTTTCTGTTGGTTTTGTGTTGATATGCTCAATGATGCTGATAGTATTCCTAATATTGAACCAACCCTGCATTCCTGGTATAAATCCTACCTGGTCATAGTGTATTATTCTTGTGATAAGTTGCTGCAATCTACTTGCTAGTATTTTGTTTAAAATTTTTGCATCTATATTCATTAGAGAAATTGGTCTATAATTTTCTTTCTCTATTTTGACTCTTCCTGGTTTAGGTATCAACACCATATTTGTATCATAAAAAGAATTTGGTAAGACTCCTTCTTCACCTATTTTCCCAAATAGTCTATATAGTATTGGAATTAATTGTTCTTTAAATGTTTGATAGAATTCGCATGTAAATCCATCTGGCCCTGGAGATTTTTTCCTAGGGAGTTCATCAATGGCTTGTTCAATTTCTTTTTCTGAGATGGGTTATTTAAGTATTTTACTTCCTCTTCGGTTAATCTGGGCAATTTATATTTTTGTAAATATGTATCCATTTCACTAAGATTGTCAAATTTGTTGGCATATAGTTGGGCAAAATAATTCCTAATTATTGTTTTAATTTCCTCTTCCTTGGTGGTAGCTTCCCTTTTCATTCTTGATACTAGTAATTTGGTTTTCTTCTTTCTTTTTTTTAATTAAATTAACCAAAGGCTTATCTATTTTATTGTTTTTTTTCATAAAACCAGCTCTTAGTTTTATTTATTAGTTCAATAGTTTTCTTAATTTCAATTTTATTAATTTTTCCTTTGGTTTTCAATATTTCTAATTTGGTGTTTAGTTGAGGATTTTTAATTTGTTCTTTTTCTAGTTTTTTTAGTTGTATGCCCAATTCATTAATCTCCTCTTTTTCTATTTTATTTATGTAAGCATTTAGAGATATAAAACTTCCCCTAAGAACTGCTTTCGCTGCATCCCATAGGTTTTGGTATGTTGTCTCATTATTGTCATTCTCTTGAATGAAATTATTGATTGTTTCTATGATTTGTTGTTTGACCCAATCATTTTTTAGGATTAGATTATTTAGTTTCCAATTATTTTTTAGTCTATCTTTCCATGGCCCTTTATTACATATAATTTTTATTGCATCATGATCTGAAAAGGATGCATTTAATATTTCTGCCTTTCTGCATTGGATTGTGAGGTTTTTATGCCCTAGTACATGGTCAATTTTTGTGTATGTGCCATGTACTGACGAGAAAAAAGTATATTCCTTTCTATCCCCATTCAGTTTTCTCCAGAGGTCTATCATACCTAACTTTTCTAATGTTCTATTCACCTCCTTAACTTCTTTCTTGTTTATTTTGTGGTTAGACTTATCTAGTGCTGAGAGGGGGAGGTTCAGGTCCCCCACTAGTATAGTTTTGCTGTCTATTTCTTCCTGTAACTCCCTGAACTTCTCCTGTAAGAATTTGGATGCTATACCATTTGGTGCATATATGTTTAGTAATGATATTACTTCATTGTCTATGGTGCCTTTTAGCAGGATGTAGTTTCCTTCCTTATCTCTTTTGATTAGATCTATTTTTGCTTTTGCTTTGTCTGAGATCAGGATTGCTACCCCTGCTTTTTTACTTCAGCTGACACATAATATATTCTGCTCCAGCCTTTTACCTTTACCCTGTATGTGTCACTCTTTTTCAAATGTGTTTCCTGTAAACAACATATTGTAGGATTATGGTTTTTAATCCATTCTGCAATCCATTTCTGTTTTATGGGAGAGTTCATCCCATTCACATTCACAGTTATGATTACTATCTGTGTCTTTTTCTCCATCCTTTTCCCCCTATTTATGCTTTTCTTTCTCCTTTTTCCTTTCCCCCTTCACTAGTGTTTTGCTTTTGACCACGCCTCCTTCAGTCCCTTCCCCCTTTTATTATCCCTTTCCCTTTTCTTCCCCTTTAGTCTTACTGCTTCTTCCCTCCCTTCTTTCCCCCCTCCCTTTTCTTCCCCCCCTCCCTTTTCTTTCCCCCCTCCCTTTTCTTTCCCCTTTTCCCTCCTACTGCCTATAGGGCAAGTTAGATTTCTATACCTAACTGATTATTATGCCCTTCTTGAGCCAAATCTGATGAGAGTAAGGTTCAAACAATGCCCCCCCCTTCTTTCCCTCTGCTGTAATAGGATTTTGTGTCTTTTCCTGTAATGTAATTTACCCTTGTCTGCCTCCTCCTTTCTCAGTACATTTTCTAAGATCAGATTGATCCACTTATTTGGATCCATTTAACCCACTTGATTAGATTTTTTTTATCATTACATCAAAGTCAACTAATATCCACCCTCTTTATGTATACTCCTTTAACAAGGGTAATAACAATACAGTTCTCAAGGGTTGCAAGTCTCATATTCCCTTGTAGGGGTTTAAACACCCCCCCATTAACAACATATTGTATCTTCTGTCCCATTTACCTTTTTAAGTCCTTCTTGAGTCCTGTACTTGAAGATCAAATTTTTTGTTGAGCTCTGGTCTTTTTATCAGGAAAGTTTGGAAGTCTCCTATTTCGTTGAATATCCACCTCCTCCCTTGAAAAATGATGCTCATTTTTGCTGGGTAATTGATCCTTGGCTGCATTCCAAGCTCCTTTGCCTTACGGAATATCATGTTCCATGCCCTGGTCTTTTAATGTAGAAGCTGCAAGGTCCTGTGTAATCCTGACTGTGGTTCCATGATATTTAAATTGTTTCTTTCTGGCTGCTTGCAGCACCTTCTCTTTCATCTGGTAATTTTGGAATTTTGCTATTATATTCCTTGGTGTTGTCAATTTGGGATCTCTTTCAGGTGGTGATCGGTGGATTCTTTCTATGGTTATTTTCCCTTCTGGTTCTAGGACTTCGGGCAGTTTTCCTTTATGATTTCCTGAAAGATACTGTCCAGGCTCTTTTTTCATCATGATTTTCAGGTAGTCCAATAATTTTTAAATTGTCTCTCCTGAGTCGATTTTCCAGGTCGGTTGTTTTACTGATGAGGTATTTTACATTTTCATCTATTTTTTCATTTTTTTGTTTCTGTTTGACTGATTCTTGCTCTCTCATAGAGACATTAGTTTCCATTTGTCCAATTCTAGTTTTTAACAGATTGTTTTCTTCTGTTAGTTTTTGTACTTCCTTCTTCAACTGGCCAATTGTGTTTTTAGGGACTTGTTTCTTCAGTTACTCTTCTGTTAGTTTTTGTACTTCCTTCTTCAATTGGCCAATTGTGTTTTTTAGGGACTTGTTTTCTTCAGTGTATTTTTTTCATCTCTCTTGGCCAATTGTATTTTTGAAGGACTCTTCTACCTCTCTCATTTGACTATTAAAATCCTTCTTGAGCTCTTCTAAGAAGGCTTTTTGGGCTTCAGACCAGTTCATATTCCCTTTTGTTGTTGCAGATGTGGGTTTGTTGACAATGTTGTCCTCTTCAGAATTTCTGTCTTGATCTTCACTCTTCTCATAATATGAATCTATGGTACGTTTCTTTTTACTCATGGTGTTTCTTTATTCCCTGGCCTTTAAAGAGATTGAGCTCTCCTGCTGGGGAACAGAGGGTACTGACCCAAGCTTCTTGTGTTGGGAGCCTAGGTCTTGGTCACTGGCTTTGCTGTGGGCCTCTTATGCTGGCAATTGGAGGCTGTAGGTTTCTGGCAGCTTACCTTGTGTTGGGCTGGAATCAGCAAGGCTGGAACTTTCAGGCAATTCTAGGTTGCCTGCTTTTCCTTTCCTTTAGCTTTCTTCAGCTCCTTTTAGATGGGTGCTGCAGGGTGTTTATCTGCCTGGGGCCCCTGCAGTGTTGTCTCCCTGTTTCTGCTAATGCACTGGGAGATTCCTTTTGGTGGAGTGCCGAGGCACCTGGTGGTTTTCTGAGCTGGTTTCCACCGGTTCCCCACCTCCGCCCTCACTGAGGCACTGAGGTCCAGGTGTTGGTGTTTGCCTGCTCTACCACCTGGGCTTCAGGATTTCTTCACAATTGGAGGCTGCAGGGCTCCACAGCTCACCTGGTGTTGGGTTGGAATCAGCAAGGCTGGGGCTTTAGGAAGCCTTTAGGTGTTTTCTTCACCTCCTTTCAGATGAATGCCACAGGGTACTTATCTGCCTGGGGCCCCTTGTAGTTCTGCCTCCCTTATTTTTGCTGAGGCACTGGGAGACCCGTTTGCTGGGCTGCTGCACTGCTGCTCCTGTCTTTCTTCTAGTTCAGGTGTTCCAGGGTTTTTTTTCTGGGGTGATATTTTCTGGGTTTTCAGAGGTTGATAGGGGAAAGCGAGTACGACTACCTTTTCACTCCGCCATCTTGGCTCCCAGAAGTCTCTGTTTTGTTTTTTTGTGGTGGGGAACCTCAACATTTTGTTCTCAGAACTAGATAAATCTAACCAAAAACTAAACAAGAAAGAAGGGAACAAAATGTTAGAAAAGTTAGATGTGAGAGAACTCTGGAGAAAGTTGAATGAGAATAGAAAGAATATACCTTTTTCTCAGTGGCACTTTGCCTTATATCCATTATATTATATATGCTGCCCCTAATAAGGCTGTCCCTATCCAACATACATGATTGAAGTATTCACATTGCCAAAATAACCTCTGACCTTTAGGGCACTTTACCCATAGCAACAGGGCAGCTAAGTGGCTCAGTGAATAGAATACTAGTCTTGGAATCAGGAAGACTCACCTTCATGGGTTTAAACCCCCTGCCCAAACCCTCACTACTACCTCTAGAAGCCAGAGCAGAGATGGAGCAGTTGCCATCTGCGAAATTAGTATACTAATGGGAGGGGAAGGGAAGAGTAGCTTCATAGTCTGTGCAGGCATGACCTCATTTGTTTTCACAACTGCCCCCTGCAAGGATGTATTATTATCCGTGTTTTACAGATGAGAAACCTGAGACTGGGAGAACTTAGGTGTCAGAGATGGGCTGTGAACCCATGTTTCTTCAGTCTCCAAGTTGGTCATTCTGTCTGTTCAACCACAATGTCACTTACCTTTTCCTTTTTGTAAATCAAACCATCAAATCAGAAAATACTTACAGAAATTAATTCAGTCCATTCACTGGAAGGTCAAATGCTGAAGCTTAAAGACTGTGGTCACATCATGAGAAAATGGGATGCATTGGAAAAGATCCTAATAATGGGAAAGATAGAAGGCAAAAGGAAATGGTAGAGGGATAATATGGATAAATAGTGTCATACGAACAACGAACATGAACTAGGACAGACTTCAGGAGATAGTGGAAGAAAGAAGGGCCTAGCATGTTGTGGTCGAAGGGGTCAAAAAGAGTCAGACAAGATTGAATGACTGAATAACAACAATGAAGGTAAATGGCTATGAGGAGGAGTAGGTGAAACCTGGAAAACTGCCATGGAAGAAAAGGAGTTCCTACTTTATGTTATTACCACATACTAGGAGCAGGCATAGGACTTTCACCACAGAAGGGTTGGAGTTTGGCTAGCTTGATGATTCAACAATCCAATTATCCGGTCCTAACCTCTCTGCATACAGCCAGCCTCACATCTCCAACTGTCTACTGGACATCTTCAACCAGATATTCTGTAGATATCTTGAATTCAGCAAGTCCAACACTGAACTCATTGTCTTACCTTCCCCCCCCCAAAAAAAATGCGTACCTCCTTCCTACTTAACCTATAACTGTTAAGGGCAGCCCAGTATTGTCAACATCACCCAGATCACCCAGGCTTGCAAGCTAGGGGTCATCCCAGATGTCTGACACTCTCTCACCTCGTCATATCCAATCTGTTGCCAAGATCTGTGCATTTCCCCTTCCTAACGTCTTCTGAATGCCCAGTTCTCTCCTCTGGCACTGACAACACCCTGATGTATTAATTTTAATTAAAATTAAACTTGAATTCACTACTGATTAGAGAAATGCAAATTAAAACAATTCTCAAGTACTACCTTATACCTATTAGATTGGCTAAGAGGACAGAAAAGGAACAGGACAGATATTAGAAGGAATGTGGGGAAAATGAGACATTAATGCACTGTTATGAACAGATTCAAACATTCTGTAGAGCAATTCTGAACTATGACCAAAGGGCTATGTAACACTATGCATACCATTTGACCTAGCAATACCACTACTAGATATGAATCCCAAAAGAGATAAAAAACAAGGAAAAGTTCCTATACGTACCCCCACCCCAAAAATATATGTGTGTGTGTATATGTGTGTATGTATATATTTATATGTATGTGTGTATATTATATATGTGTGTATATGTATGTATGTGTATGTGTGTGCATAATATGTACATACATGCAAATCTGTATACATATATGTGTGCATACATGTGTATATGTATGTGCATGTGTGTGCATGTATATATGTATGTCTATGTGCATGCATATATAATATGTATATGCATATGTATGTGTATATATACGTACATGTGTGTATATATGTGTGGATGTGCATATATGTGTATGTGTATATATATATGTGTGTGTGTATGTATATATGTATAGCAGCACTTTTCTGGGGGCAAAAATTAGAACTTGAGGAGATGTCCAAGTTGCGATATGCGATTAGGATGGAATACTATCGTACTATAAGAAATGATAGGGGCAGCTAGGCGACACAGTGGATAGAACTCCAGCCTTGGACTCAGGAAGACCTTACTTCAAATCTGCCCTCAGACACTTGACACTTACTAGTTGTGTGACCCTGGGCAAGTCACTTAACCCCAGTTGCCTTGGCAAGAAACAAAAAATGATGAGCAGGATCCTCTCAGAAAAGCCTGGAAATACTTACATGAGCTGATGCAAAGTGAAATGGACTATGCACAAAGTAACAGCAATAGTGTAAGATGATCAGCTGTGAACGACTTAGGTATGCTCAACAATACAATGATCCAAGACAACCCTGAAAGACTTATGCTGAAAATTGCTATCTGTTCCCAGAGAAAGAACTGATGGTGTCTAAATACAGATTGAAGCATACTTTTTTTACTTTATTTTTCTTGAGGTTTTTTTTGTCTGTTTTCTTTCACAACATGACTATTATGGATATGTTTTGCATGACTACACATGTATAGCCTGTATCAAATTTGCTTGCCTTATCAATGAGGGGGTGTAAGGAGGGTGGAAGGGAGACAATTTGGAACTAGAAGTCTCAAAAAGGAATGTTAAGAATTGTTTTTCTATGTAACTAGGAAAAAAGAAAATGCTAAATGAAAAAGGAAATAAGTTATGCTACTTTACTTTTTGAAATTTATTAAACCGTCAAAGGTAGCTAAACAAGTTTTAGGGACTGTATTATTTTTCAATATTAGATTATTAATAAAATATTTGATTTAAAAAAAGACCAGAGCTGAAAAGAAAATTTAACTTTCAAATACAATGCTAGAGAGATGTATAAAGAGGTAAACAGGAAAGGGAAATCATAAGGGACTTAATAAGGTTAAATAGGCTACCTTACTGCATTGGAAGATGACACTTGTAACTCATAAGAAATTTCTCATCATTAGGGCAGTTAGAAGGAGTATACATAGACCAAAAGCAGAGGTGTGAGTTGAATATGAAGGGATGATATCTCAAAAATAAAATTAAGGTGTGAGGAGGAGGTGCACACTGGAGAAGGGGAACAGAAGAGGTAGAATGGGGGTAAATTATCTGACATAAAATAGGCAAGGAAGAGCTTTTACAGTGAAGGGGGAAAGAGGAGAGGTGGGGGGAACACTTGTGCCTTAGTCTTATCAGAATTTCCTCAGAGGGAATCACACACACACACAAAATACAGAAATCTATTTTAACCAAAAGAAAAGCAGGAGGGGAAGAGCAGAAGAGAAGGGAGGTGGTGATAGAAGCAAGGACAGATTGGAGGAGGTGGTACTCAGAAGCAAAACACTTAAGGAGGGACACAGTGAAAGGAGAAAGAGAATAGAATAAATAAGGGGGAAATAGGATGGAGAGAAATACAGTTAGCAAACATAAGTGGTTAAAAAAAATTCTTGAAGCCAAGTTCCACTGATAAAGGCCTTGTTTCTCAATTATATAGAGAAGTCAGTCAAATTTATAAAAATAAACACCATTCCCCACCAGATAAATGATCAAAAGATATGACCAGTCAGTTTTCAGATGAAGTAATCAAAGCTATCTCTACCCATATGAAAAAATATTGTAAATCATTGTGGATTAGAGACATGGAAATGAAAAAATTGGGAGGTACTACCTCACATGTATTAGATTGGCTAATAGGATAGAAAATGATAAATTCTGGAGGGGATGTGGGAAATTTGAGACATTGTTGATGGAGTTGTGAACAGATTCAACCTTTCAGAAAGCAATTTGGAACTTTGCCCAAAGGGCATAACCTTTTGACCTAGCAATACCACTGCTAGATCTTTATTCCAAAAAACATTTAAAAAAAGTAAATGGACCTATACATACAAAAATATGTATGGCAGCTCTTTTCTCGTGGCAAAGAACTGGAAATTGAGGGGATAAGCATCAAGTGGGAATGGCTGATTAAGTTGTGGTATATAAATGTGATGGAATGCTATAAGAAATGCTGATCAGGGTGGTCTCAGAAAATCCTAGAGAGATTTAAATGAACTAAAGGAAAGTGAAATGAGTAGTTCCAGGAGAACATGGTATACACAGTAACAGCTCTATCATAAGATGATCAGCTATGAATGACTTAGCTATTTTCAGCAATAAAAAGATCCAAGACAATTCTGAAGGACTTATGATGAAAAATGCTATCCATCCCCACAGAAAAGACTGGTGGTCTCTGAATACAGATCAAAGCATACTTTTTTTAACTTTATATTTCTTGACGGGTTTTTGTGGTCTATTTTTTCTTTTATAAAATAACTAATATAGAAATATGTTTTGCATGACTAAATATGTATAAGCTATCTTGCTTGCCTGGTCAACGCAGGGGTGGCGGGGTAGAGATTGAGGAGGAGTAAGGGAGAGAATTTAGAACTCAAAATTCTTAAAATGAATGTGAAAAATTGTTTTTACACATAATTGGGGAAAAATAAAATACTAAATAAATATTAACAACAACTTAAGTGGACCATCCCGCAGACCCTGTACATCATGTGAATTTATCCACAGAACTGGAAAAGGGCAGGAGGGAAGCAGGAAGGGGACTGCACCCCTGTGGAGGAGGGGTTGGGCACATGGTTCCAGGATACGTGGAGCCTGGGCACTGAGAAGCAAGAGCAGGAGAAGGAACACATGGCTGGTGGGGCCAGCCACATGAGGGCCTGGCTGGAACAGAAAGGAAGAACATGCCGGCAGGCAGACACATGAGGGCCGGACATGGAAACGTTCAGGAAAGGACAGACCACACACGGTGGGGACCAGGAACAAACACACTGGATACCCACATGGATGGACAAATGCCAAAATGCAGGGACCAAACTCTCGGGCAGGTGGGCAGGCTGAAACTAAGGTCTCCTCTCTCATCACTGGAGGTCTCAAGCCAAGTCCCCATTCAGCAGTGGCGGTGGCTGTCTCTCTGCAGGTCTATTTTTCTGCTTTCACTTGGAGGACTTCTTTTTTAGCTTTTTCTTTGGGGTGCAGGGTTAGTGGTGGTAGGAGGCCACAGAGCGCCAATTTGAGGGACAGGAGGCGAAAGAGATCCCAGTACAGTAGGGTAAAGCATAGGTGTTTTCTTGGAATGCAGATTTCTTATAGAATTCCTTCCATAAAGTCCAATTTGTATAATGTGAATTTCCATAAAGCACCATCTGTCTGTACTCCTTTCTATCCTCTTTCAGTTTTCTCCAGAGGTCTTTCATATCTAAGTTTTCTAAAATTCTATTACTCGTCTTAACTTCTTCCTTATTCATTTTATGGTTAGGTTTATCTAGCTCTCAGAGCGAAAAGTTGAGGGAACCCGCTACGACAGTTTTCCTGTCTATTTCTTCCTGTAACTTGTTTAATTTTTCCTTTAAGAATTTGAATCCTATGCCATTTCCCAAATATGTTTACTAAGGATTTTACTTCATTGTCTGTCATTCCTTTGAACAAGAGGTCGTTTCCCTGCTTACCCCTTTCAATAGGGCTATTTCTGCTTTTGCTTTGATCTCAGGTTCATGACTGCTACCCCTCCATGTTTTAATTTAGCAGAGGTATAACAGTTTCTGCTTCAGTGCCCTATTGTAACTGTGGTTCTCTCTTTGTTTCAGGTATGTTTCTTGTAAAACAACAAACAAAGATATTCTTGGAGACTGCTTTCTAATCCATTTTGCTATCCCTTCCATTTTATGCGTGAGTTCATCCCATTCACACAGGTAGGATGACGAATGATACATTTCCCTCCATCCTATTTTCTTCTGTTTCTCCTTCTCTCTCTCTTTTTATCCTGTCTCTCCTCTCATTTCTGTTTTGCATATGACCACTGTATCCTTTTATCAGCCTGCCCTTTTATCACCAATTTTTCTTTCTCTTTTCCCATTCTCTTACTTACCTCTAGAGTAAGATGGATTCTTCTGACCAACTGAGTAAGTATATATAGATACAGATATAAAATAGATATAGATATTTTTCCTTTTGTGAACCAATTTAGATGCGACTGAAGTTCAATCATTGGCCACTCTCCCCTACGACCTTTTTCCACTCCAGGGTAAAAGCTCTTCCTTGTACACCTATTTTATATGAGATCATTTCCCCCATTCTCTCTCTCCCTTCTGCCTTCTCCCAGGGCATCCACATTTCTTACCTATCCCTTTATTTTACATCATCCCAACCTAATTGGCTTCCTATGTAAAACCTTCTTTTTATGTAAAATCCCTCCACCTCTTCTAATAATGACAAAATTCTTAAAGATATGTGTATCCTCTTCCCTTTTAGAAAAG